GTAGATCGATTGTGGACAATATTATGGTGGCTTTTGTAACACAGTATTTTCTTAAGCGAAAGAGAGCTGGGAAAGAAGGTTTTGTAGCCTTAAAACTTGATATGAGCAAGGCCTATGATTGAGTGGATTGGGACTTTTTGCGGCAAATTATGGTTCATATGGGCTATGATCATAAATGGATACATATTATTATGGAATGTGTTAGTATGGTGAGTTACTATGTTCAGTTTGATGGGGAATTTATTGGACCGATTTTTCCTGAACGTGGGTTGAGACAAGGAGATCCACTTTCTCCTTATTTATTTATTGTAATAGCGGAAGGATTAAGTGTTTTGTTGAGACGGGATGAAGTAAAGGGTGAGGTTCATGGGGTTGCTGTTTGTAAAGGGGCTCCTCGGGTGTCGCATCTTCTCTTCACAGATGACAACCTCCTCTTCTTTAAAGCCAATAGACCAGAATGTGACGCTCAACATGTTGGATATGAATGTTGCTTCCTTACGAGATGAGGAAGGTAAGAACTGAAATGTGAGGCGGGTGCAAACTCTTTTTTCGACAGAAGATAGCAAAAGTATCCTTAGCATTCCGATTAGTTCTTATGATAAGGAGGATAGCTTGTGTTGGATGGGAGAGAGGAATGATTTATTTTCGGTGAAAAGCTATTATAGACTCCTAGTGGGGAACTTGACAGATGCTACTTGGAAGGGATGGACTAGGATGTGGACTTTAAAAATTCCGCCTAAGGTTAAATATTTGTTCTGGCAACTAATGGATGTGTCTCTTCCCATCTTGACTAATCTTGTTAGACGTGGTGTGCAGATTGCTACAACTTGTAGGCTGTGCGATATGGAGGATGAATCGGCTGAACATGCTTTTCGTTTATGTCCGAAGGTACAAGAGGTATGGCAGCAAGCTGGTTCTTGATACTGTTCGGGTGTGAATGGCTTGGAGGGCTGGGTGCGGACAATAATAAGAGCGGCTGATACGAGTATTTGTAGGTTTATTACTCTATTATGGAGTATATGGAAGCAGAGGAATAATGTTATATGGAAGGAGAAGTATCAAGGAGCCTCAGCCGTACTAAATTGTGCTGATAGTTTGCTTAAACATTGGGAGGCCTCTCAAATGGTGCAACAGAAGTACGACCAAAGGCAGGTGAAGGAAGCTACCAGGTGGAAGAGACCAAGAGAACACGACATAAAAGTCAATATTAATTTGAGTCAGACGCCTTAACGGTGGTGCAGGAGGTGCAGGGTGAGTTAGGGATGTCCTACCTTGACTTGTTAATTGAGGATATTCGAGTTTTGTTGGAAACAAAGAGGAATTTTAGTCTCTCTTTTTGTCAGAGATCTGCGAATCGTGTTGCCCATGTTTTAGCTAGGCAAGGCGTGCAAATTTCAGATCACACAAGTAGCTATGTGGAAGCTCCACATTTTATTGTAAGCTTTATGGCAAATGATTTGATTATTTAATGAAAGCTTCATTTTATTTGCAAAAAAAACATATTCAAATGCCAATTTGAATTAACTGTAACTATATATTTTTTTTGAACCCAGAGTTGACCAACCAAAAGAGGTTGGCATAGGAGCTGGGGAACATCCTACCTGTTTATTGAAATGGAGTGAAAGTACAAGGTAGGAGGACATAGAGCCAAAGCCTACCCCAAAGATTAGTAAAGATAAGGGTAACTAATGGCATCAAATTTAAGAATCCCTACAAATTGATTAAAAAGCACGGGGTTTAATTTAAGGGAGACATTCTTATACGCAACAAATTCTGCCGCTATATTACATTTGGAATTGATGGTGTCCATTCTCCAACAAAAATTTTTCAAATTGCGCCTGATTTGTTTTACATGAGCCCAATATCTCCAATGGTGAGTGATGATCCCTTTGACTGTAACTATATTCCAAAGTAAATGTCATCACACCTTTTATTCAACTGCGCCCACTGCTTAATTCTAAAGAAAATACATATTCCACTACAATCATCTGCATCTTAAATACTTCACTAAGATATAAGAAATCACATGAATGTTTACCAACAAAATATGCACTTAAAAACATTTTCAAATGCACTTAACCTCTCTTTGCATAAAAAACAATATTCATCTGCATATTAATTCCATCACCCCAAAAATGAATAAGCATTTGAAAAAAACTCAGTCTGCATTTATTTCACAGTTCAATTGCAGCTTTACGTAATGTCTTTTGCACCAAAAATTGAATCTAAGTGATTGCTAAGTTATTTCAACAGCACCCAACCATTTTTTGTCTGCATTTTTACCAGCATACACAACTTCCTCAAACACAAGTCAATTGCACCTTTAGCTAATCTATTTTTCCCCAAGGAAGTAAATACGGAGTATAATCTATTCACTTGCACCCTTGCTTATTTCTAAGTTACCTCAACTGTACCTACCAATCTTAGTTTGCATAGCCTATCAATTAAATTTCACCTTTACCTAATCTATTTTGCACCAAAATTTAATCTAATCAGGATCACTCACCAAACACGAACTCAAAAATCAACATTCATACTAAGATTAGTCTATATGAGTACTCTTCCGGTCAGGAATTCCTGACCGGAACCGCCGTCCGTACGGCGGCGTTTGGACGCCTTCCGGGTAGAATTTTTCGATGAAATTTTTATGACATGTTCTTCATCAAGTCTAGTTTATCCACAAAACAATTCAGCCAAAAACTCATTCGGGAAGGTCGTCAAATGATTTTTGCAAGTTAACTGGTCCGGAAAATACATATTCCGGATGAGTTAACTTGCAAAAATCATTTGACGACCTTCCCGATTGAGTTTTTGGCTGAATTTGTTTGTGGATAAACTAGACTTGATGGAGAACATGCCATAAAAATTTCATCAAAAAATGTCACCGGGAAGGCGGCCAAACGCCACCGTCCGGACGGCGGTTCCTGTCCGGAATTCCGGACATGAATAAAATTCTAGTCTAATATATTGCACCTTTACGTAATATATTTTGCACAAAACTTAATCTAATCAGGAAGACTCACCAAGCACGAACACAAAAACAAACATTCATATCCAAAATGCAATTTTCACTAAAGTTCAACTCCATATTAGTAATTATATATTACACATTACTAAATTCAACAACAAAAACACAATCAATATGACGTCCATCACAAATGCATCCACACAATCCTCTGTGTGCATCTAACATACCAAATCCTCCATGCAAAGAGATTAATCTAAACAAAACAAATACCTTCTTCGCACGCCAAAGCAATTTGTCGCAAAGCGTGATCTTCTTGAACTGAAGCCATTTGCGCAAATGGAATTTCACCGGTCGTTGATCTTCACAGACGATGTCCTTTGTCTACGCTGAAGCTTTTGCCGCTCTCAAGGAAATATTCCGGCTTATGAGACCTTGGGTAGTTGGAGCATAAACAACCTCTGCATCTTTCCTGTTTTTGATTTGCTATTCATGGGCAGTTCGAATCTAAGTGGGGATTATGCCCAAGATTTCATTCCTTTTCCGTATTATGGCGGTTCCATTTAAAAAATGTCAAATGCTTCTTTATCCTTAATTACTAAACGGGTTTTAAAATTCCCATTCGCCTCTTGCGCAGCTCATGAAGTCTAACGGTGAGGAACCTGTTTTGGGCCATTGATTTGGCTAAATTGGATGGACGAAATTGATTTGCATTTTGTATGGGGAGCAGTGTTTGTATGTGATCTCTTCCCTACACACACACACACACACACACACACACACACACACACACACACACACACACAGAGAGAGAGAGTAATCTTCCGATTAGGCCGTTCCTGACCGGAGCGTTGTCCGGCCTCCTCCTTTTGGGGCAGTTCCCGATGGTATTTTTTGCTGAATTGTTTTCTTGTTCTTCATCAAGTCTAGTTTACCCATACCAAATTTCAGCTCAAATTTCAATCGGAGAGGAATTCAAATGATTTTTGGAAGATAACTGCACCAATATATACATGTAAAACACAATTATATTTCAAAAATCGTTTGACTGCCTTCCCGATTGAATTTTTAGTTAAAATTTGGTATGGATAAACTAAATTTGATGAAGAACATACACAAAAAAATTCAGCAAAAAATACCACCTGGAACCAGGGGCGGAGCCAAGGGGGGTCAAGGGGGTCAGTCGACCCCGCTGAAAGTTTGAGAGTATAGAGCTCTGAAATACCTTCGATTTGATATATTATGGCCCTTGTAACTCATTACGAGTAAAAATTATGACTTCTGGGAAATCAACACTATCTAAACGTAAAATCAGCAAATTTTGATGCATAATATTGATTATTTTCCCAAATTTTATGAATAACGTATAATTAATTCATTAGTTACGTAACATGATTCAGAAACAGAGCAAAGACAGTATATCTTATTGCTTACAAATGCCTATTTATCTAAATTACAAATGAAACATTCAATTCGAACATTGTCTAAAAATGATGTACCATTTTCATTTTGTACATTGTTTATTTTCGACCCCCTGACCCGTTTTTCTGGCTCCGCCACTGCCTAGAACAATCCCAAAAGGCGGAGGCCGGACGGCACTCCGGTCAGGAATGGTCTGACATGAATAATCCTATATATATACTACCTTCGTCCCATTTATATTCTCTCGGACAGTGTTCTAAAAGGCGTGAGGCGCGTCAAGGCGCCACGACCGAGCCTCAAGTCTTAGAAGCCTAGGCGGGTGTATGCGAGGCCTGGGCGTGAAAAGGCGTTTGTAATTTTTACTCATTATTTTAATATTGCTAGAGGAATTAGTAAGTGCGTAAATGTGATATGTGATACTATCCTACAAAAGACATCATATTTTGAATTTTCCAACAAAAATAAAATACAAACAGTTATAAGAATCACAAATACTCATATAGGCATATAGCCACAAAGGCTGGAAATTAGTTGAATGATAAATAATAGAAATAAAACTTTATAGTATTAATATAGCAAGATTTGTTTTGAAAATATATCACTTATAATAAACTTATTTGTTAAAATGATTTTATTACAGTATAATGTCGTGGTCACTTACACATAAATTTGAACATAAGTTACTATGAATAAAATTGATACACTTAAAAGATCATTTTTTATAAACAATCTTTTTAGTTATTATTCCTAACATATAATTCTTTCTAATAATAATTGAAAGAATAGTCAATTACAATTTATATAGCCTTGAGCAAGTTTAATCGTTTGTTGGTTAGACAATGTTATACCAAAGCCATAATGTGTCCAAGTTTGCAGGAGAAGGTTTTCCGTTTTCACCTTTGTTTTGTTTCTTTCAATAAGTGGAGAAGTGGACAAACTCTCCACCCTATGTACGTATTAATAAGAGCTCCTTTCACAACTTAAGCTTGGCAGCGAATTTCATTGCGATGAACGGCTGCATTACCTCCGGTGACAGCTAGCTATGAGGCTATGATACACGAAAATCTTAGCAGATTCTCACGGAAAAGCATCCTAACAATTCCAAACGCATCTCAAAGAGAACATCAATTTCCTTTACCTTAGTACCTCACAAACACCTTGATGATGTGATTTAGCAAGTCAAATATAAGTATATCTGGAAGTTATTGTAAGCTTCCATGTAGTTCATTGAGTAGGACATCAGTTATTTCATCGCCATCCTTCTTCCCACCATCCACAGTGCTTTGTACGGAGATATAAGACATGTAGGCCTCGCGATCAAAACGCCCCGCATCACTCAACATCTCAATCAATTCCTCTTTGCTTTTCACGTCATCATGTTGCTCACAAAGCTGCATAAAAGAAAATATAGTAGGATGACTGGGTGTCCAGTTTCCAGAACCTTCAGCCGAAAGGGCATCTCTCAAGCAAGACAAAGCTTCTGAAACTCTCCCCCTCCTGATATGCAATTGTGCAATGATTTCCCATGCCGATGAGTTGGGCTGTTTTCCCGCATCCACAATTCGTGCAAAAAGACTTTCAACCTTATCCAATAGCCCGTTCCTCAAATACCAACTCAGGAGAAGATACGGCATTCTGGGATCATAACGCTTGATTTCTGACATCCACTCATCGAATGTGTTTTCGGCGCCTTCGATATCATCTAATCTTAAAAGAGAAGAGATTAGTGCATGGTAACCCTTGTTTGGGATGCGGCGAAAGCTTGCGTTGTAGACATTCCAGACGCGGTATACCTCTTCCTTGTTACCAACTCTAGCATACAGACTCATGAGGTAATCATAACAGATAGGCTCCTTGACATTGATTCTACTCTCCATCTGTCTCAAAAAATCTTCGCCTTTTTCCATCTCACCCATCTGAATGTACATTGAAGCCATTATGCTCAATGTGTCCCAGTGTATAATAACACCAGGGTCCTTTTTCATTTTCTCAAATGCTTCTTCCATCTTCTCCACAGATCCTTGGTTTCCAAGGAACCCCAACCATATATTATAAGAAACCATGTCTAAAATATTTTTCGAATCCATTTCTGATATTAAACGCTCCACCTGGTCATTAACCTTGAGTTTATTGTAAAGGGTAATCATCACATTATATGGGACAGAAGTACTGGCAAAACCTCGGGTTTTCATCTCATCAAATAAAGATTCCGCTTTTTCCCTCATTTCTGATTGAGCATAGGCATTCAAGAGTGAGGCATACACTCGGTTGTCCTTCACATGTTCCGGCAATTTCATGAAGTAGTCTTCGGCATTTGAGATTCCTTTCACTCGGTATATTAAATTTAAATGAACTGCAGCACCCTTTTTAGATGCATGATATGTATCCTTTCTGTCCTTCATCCACTCATATACCTGCAGAATAAACACAGCTGATCTATGAGACTATGAATGAAAAATATGTAGGCGCAATATGCTATCTGAACTACCCTGCATACACTTAGCAGTTATGCTCCATTTGGACGGAGTTGATACTGGTAAAGAATTTGATCCACCTCGTTTTGGGACTTTTTAACACTACAAATTATTAAACCGTTCACCGTGATAGGGAGTAATTAGTGTATATGTCTATGTTATACTGCCTATTTCGAAGTCTCAGATGACCTCTACTCAGACAAGCAGAAAACAATCTTCACTCGCTCACTTAGATGGAACTTGTATTATTCAAAGTTTCAAACAAAATCTTGAGATATTCGATCCTGTGAATCTATTTCCTACTAACCTAACTGAACCTCAAATCGAACAGAGCATTCACCATACTACAATTTTATGGAAGATTAACTTCCATACAAATAGAGAGAGTTTAGAATTACTGGGTATTGAACAAAGGAGTTCGCTATCTGGGTAAAGGAAATACTAACGTTATGCGGGGAGAGTATAACCTGGAGAGCAAGCTTGTATCGCTTGAATGTGCGGAGTTCCTTGATTATAAGCACAAGATTCGATATTGAAAGATCCGCACCCCCATTCTCAAACTGTTCTAGCACTGCGTCAACGCTGGTTGGTCCCGAGAGTGCAGCAATGCATATACGCTTGTACATTTTGTACCAATCGAGTTTGGGCTTCTTCCCATAGTCCACAGTGCTGGCATTCGATTTTGAGGAACATGAGACCGCAGGGCCCTTCGGAGAGTAAAGAAGAATCGATGTTGAGAACCCGGGAGGGGATGAGAGCAAGCGGGAGATATGCACTGAGAATGAGAGAGGGCGGACACGGTGGTGGTGAACTGGCGCGGCGGTTGCGGTTGTGGCTGTGACGGATTGGAGCAACATTGTTCTTGATAAGATTCTTCCCTTGCAGTTTTTACTTCAACGAATTCCGACCACACCAGCTGAAGCGTGAAGAAGACGTGTGATCCATTTTGACATGTCAGGGTGTTTGGAACTCATTCTTATTATGCTGTCTTTTAAAAATAGAAAGAGTGATTAGTAGTAAAAGTTGATAGTGTTTGAGAAAAAAGTGATTTTGAAAAGTAAAAGTTGGTAGTGTTTGGTAAAATAAGTGCTTTTTGTGTAATAGAAAAGGGAAAAGCACTTTTCACACGCAAGCCGAGAAAAAGTAAAAATTGGAAGTGTTTGGTAAATAAGTGTTTTTTTAAGCCAAAAGCTGAGAAGTGCTTTTTTTAAGCTATTGCAAACACTCCCTAAGGTTTTCAAAGCTCGGCTTCTAAAAAAAACTGATTCTAGGAGTAATTAGAGCACCAGAATCATTTTTCACACTTTCACCCAAACTGCTTCTGCTCAAGAATCAGATCCAAACTGCCCCTAGATGGATGAAAATTCCGATTTTTTGTGTTTGGTGTGGTTTAGGAGCGTTTCAAATGCTTCTGCCTAAAAAAAGTACTTTTGGAAATGATTTTGGAAAAAGTGATTAGTAGTAAAAGTTGATAGTGTTTGAGAAAAAAGTGAATTTGAAAAGTAAAAGTTGGTAGTGTTTGGTAAATAAGCGCTTTTTGTGTAATAGAAAAAGTAAAAACCATTTTTCGCACCAAAGCCGAGAAACGCTTTCTTCACAAGGAGCAGAGTAAAAGTTCGAGTATTTGGATGGAAGACTGAAACTCTGAAAGTGCAAAAGTAGGGAAAATTCCCGAAATAAGAGTAAAAATGTTTGAAAATTTCATAATAGGACTATCATGTTTTTATTTCCTATATAGGAGTAATTACTCCAAAAGTTTGAAAATTATTGTCATATTTAAAGTTTGGTATTGCCAAAATATGGCAACAATTACCCTTATTTAGAGAATAATACAAACGTTTTTAGTCCTATTTAGGATAATTTTCCACAGAAGTACTTCTAGTGACCTAGTTTACTCCTAGAATCGGTTTTTTTAACATTTGAGAGAGACCGGCTTCTGAAAACTGATTCTGATTTTGCTTCTGTTTTAAAAAAATAACAGAATCAGAATCAATTCCAAACACCCCTAAACAGATCATTATTAATTATCAATTTTACATGCTAAATTGCTAACCGGTAAAAGTAAAAATTGTTTGAAAACGTTTTAGATTTTTAGCTTTTGGATTAACCTTTGTTGTGTAGATTACTTAGAGCCTGTTTGTGATCATGTTTTTTCGGTTTATCAAGTTTTTTAACAAATTTTTTCATCAAACACGTAATTATTGATTTCGCGTGCCAAATTGTGTAATAATAAAGAAAAGTAATGTTTCAGTTAATTTTCCGGCAATATTGGCTGAAGTTACTATAATAATCATTTTAACTATTTTTTTGTATTTTATTTTCGTTATTTTATTAATAAAACATATTTTTAAAATATTATTTTTAATCAGCGGAATCAACCAATTCAACCACATGTTTAATTATAAGAGGATAATTAAGGAATCCTCGCAAGTCGAGGGTCCGGGGAAGGGTCCAAGATCAAGAGTGTACAGCCTTCCCCTGTCATACACACTCTTTAAGACGCCCATTATGTACCATGCCTACTAACTTAACATTAAAAAGAGTGGCCATGTATTCCGGCAGCAGGGCAGCTTAATAATGTAAAATACACTATTATACATAGCTTGGGAGTTTAACAGGAATGTGAAATTTCAGTTTTGGAACTCTTCCAAAGAAATACCTTCCTCTTTAGAGTACCTATAGCATAGTTGAATCTTCATGTAACGAAGCACAATATGATTGCTACGATATAAAATGGCCATTATAAAGTAAGTGTGACAGGAATGTTCACCAATAACGAGCTATTTTTAAGGTTTTCTACATTTTTTCCATAGATCTGCGTGTACAGTGAGCTTTAAGGGTAAAAGCTTATTTATGTAATTCTCTTGGTGAAGAACAAAACTTACCTTTCACCTTACCTGGATGAGACCTAATACATTGACAACATGAAATTCCAAATCTTGAAATTCCATTTCTTGCTGAGAAGGTGTCAATATGAACACGGACTTCATTTACATGGTTCAACATGTTGACTGGAAAACATATAGAGTCCATTTAGAAATCGAATGTAAAAAATCTGAGTGCAGTACATGCTTGTCACGGCGTCGCCTAGTCGCCCACTAGGCATCCTGGCGCTAGGGACTGCTCGCCAGCTTCACTCGTCTTGCCAGACGAAGAGTAGTCGAAGTCGTGAATGGCGTCGTCCAGGCGTCATGCAAGCGCTGTTTTAGCAACGAAATCCTCTCCTTTTTGGAAAGTCGGACCGCTATGGCGCAGGCCCAGAACCCAAATAAAAAAAGATTTAGGCTTTATATAAGTATATGTGGAAGTTATTGTAAGCTTCCATGTAATTCATTGAGTAGGACATCAGTTATTTCATCCCCATCCTTCTTCTCACTTTCCATAGTGCTTTGTACGGAGATATAAGACATGTAGGCCTCGCGATCAAAACGCCCCGCTTCACTCAACATCTCAATCAATTCCTCTTTGCTTTTCACATCATCATGTTGCTCACAAAGCTGCATAAAAGAAGATATCGTAGGATGCCTGGGTGTCCAGTTTCCATAAACTTCAGCCGAAAGAGAATTTCTCAAGCAAGACAATGCTTCTGAAACTCTCCCCCTCCTGATATGCAATTGTGCAATGATTTCCCATGTCGATGAGTTGGGCTGTTTTCCCGCATCGACAATTTGTGCAAAAAAACTTTCAACCTTATCCAATAGCCCGTTCCTCAAATACCAACTCAGGAGAAGATTCGGTATTCTGGGATCATAACGCGTGATTTCTGACATCCACTCATCGAATGCGTTTTCGGCACCTTTGATATCATCTAATCTTAAAAGAGAAGAGATTAGTGCATGGTAACCCGTGTTTGGGATGCGGCGAAAGTTTCCCTTGTACACATTCCAGACGCGGTATACCTCTTCCTTGTGACCAACTCTAGCATACAGACTCATGAGGTAATGATAATGGGTCCGCTCCTTAACATTGATTCTATTCTCCATCTGTCTCACAAAATCTTCGCCTTTTTCCATCTCACCCATCTGAATGTACATTGAAGCCATTATGCTGAATGTGCTCCAGTGTATAATAACACGAGGGTCCATTTTCATTTTCTCAAATGCTGCTTCCATCTTCTCCACAGATCCTTGGTATCCAAGGAAAGTCAACCATATATTATAAGAAGACATGTCTAAAATATTTTTCGAATCCATTTCTGATATTATACGCTCCACCTGGTCATTAACCTTGAGTTTCTTGTAAAGGGTCATCATCACATTATATGGGTGAGATGTACTGGCAAAATTTCGGATTTTCATCTCATCAAATAAAGATTCCGCTTTTTCCCTCATTTCTGATTGGACAAAGGCATTCAAGAGTGAGGCATACACTAGGTTGTCCTTCATATCTTTTGGCAATTTCATGAAGTAGTCTTCGGCGTCTGAGATTCCATTCACTTGGTATATTAAATTTAAATGAACTGCAGTGTCTTTTGTAGTAACATGATATGTATCCTTTCTCTCCATCATCCACTCATATGCCTGCAGAACAAACACAGCTGATCTATGAATGAAAAATATGTATACACAATATTTTCTCTGAACTACGCTGCATACACTTGACAGTCATGCTCCATTTGGACATAGTTGGTCGTAATAAATAATTTGATCCACATCGTTTTGGTACTTTTTAAACACTCAATTTTATTAACTTTTGACCCCTGTTCACCGTAATAGGGAGTAATATATGTATATGTCTATGCTATACTGCCTATTTTGAAGTATCAAACTCTAAATTCGCCTCAACTCAGACAAGATTAAAACAATCTTCACTTAAATAGCACTAGTATTATTCAAACAAATTCTTGACATATTCAATCCTGTAAATCTATTTCCTACTAAACTAACTTGAATTTCCTACGTGTACTGTGACCTAACTGAACATCAATTCGGACAGAGCATTCACCATACTACAATTTTATGGAAGAATAGCTTCCATACAAATAGAGAGAGTTTAGAATTACTGGGTATTGAACAAAGGAGCACCCTATCTGTGTATAAGAAAATCCTCAATTTAGGCGGGGGGAGAGTATAACCTGGAGAGCAAGCTTGTATCGCTTGAATTTGCGGAGTTCCTTAATCACAAGCAAAAGATCCGGTACTGAAATCTTCGCACCCTCATTCTCATACTGTTCTAGCACTGCATCAGCGCTGGTTGCTTCCGAGCATCCAGCAATGCATATGCGCTTGTAGATTTTGTACCAACCGAGTTTCGGCCTCTTCTCATAGTCCACGGTGCTGGCATTCGATTTTGAGGAACATGAGACTGCATGGCTCTTCGGAGAGTAAAGAAGAATCGATGTTGAGAACCCAGGAGGGGATGAGAGCAAGTGGGAGATATCCACTGAGCATGAGAGACGGCGGAGACAGTGGTGGTGAACCGGCGCTGCTGTTGTGGTTGTGACGGATTGGAGCAACATTGTTCTTGATGTTCAACTCTATCGGCTCGTAAGCCCTTTTTCAATATTACGAAAAGAATCTCCTTTTGCAGGTTTCACTTCAACGAATTCCCACCACACCAGCTGAAGCCTGAAGAATACGGAGTATATGTAGAGCCCGTTTGGTACCACCAAAATCGGCTGTTTTGACTGATTCTGCTGAAATTTATGATATTCTGGCTGGAGTGGCTGTTTTGGCTGATTCTGCTGATTTAAGAAAAAAATATTTTAAAAATATATTTTATTAATAAATTAAAGAAAAAATTATATGTAAAAATAGCTAAAATGGTCCTCTACAGTAACTTCAGCCAATACAGCCAGAAAAGTAACTTCAACCTTACTTTTTCGGCTTATTACACAATTCAGCGCGCGAAAGTAAAAGTTACGTGTTTGGTGAAAAAGCTGGCTGATAAGCCTGATAAGCCGAAAACAGAGTTCTCCAAACGGGCTCGTAATATGTTATCCATTTTGACATGTTAGAGCATGCTACATTGTCTACTTTGTACCTGTTGTAGGAGAGATAGACACGAAATTATTTTAGAGATATTACCCGAAATAGGACTAAAAAAGTTTGAAAATTCCAAAATAGGACTTCCATGTTTTTATTCCCAAAATGGGACTAATTACTGTCATGTTTTGGCAGTACCAGACTTCAAACATGGCAGTATTTTCCAAATTTGACAGTAATTAGTCTTATTTTGGGGATAAAAACATGACAGTCCTATTTTGGAATTTTCAAACTTTTTTAGTCCTATTTCGAGAACTTTCCCTTGATTTTATGATATTTCTCTCTCCTTCTTTCCACGGTCTTATGTGTTTTTGATAAGTTTTTGTCTGCAATGTCAACCACAATGTCTACATCTAGACATTTTGCTTGATATTGTGAAGAAAAACTTACCAAAATGATGTAAGATCCTTCAAATAAGCACTGTTGTAAACGAATCGAATAATTTGTGCTCGATTCGAATTCGGAAAATTCAAATACAAATACAAATAAGAATATTAAATTTGATTTGAGTTGTTATCAAATACAAAAAAGAATATCAGTGTATTCGATTCGAATATTATTCAAATATATTCGATTAATAATAATGGTAATATTAATATCAATATCAATAAAAATAGTAATAACACTAATAATAACTTTGAAAAGGTAGCAATAACCCCAAAGTGTATCCCATACATACATTTTTGCATACAAATTTCAAGCCTTTATTTGTAATAAACCAGAATATAAATATGAATACAAATCAATTTTTTTGGTTCAAATGTCTTTCAAATACAATACAAATAATTATGTATTCAATTCGATTTGAAGAATAAAATTGGAGTTGTTTGACTTTGATATATACAATTATTAACTTATTTCACACATTATAAATATAATTTCTAATATGTGTGTGTTAGTGTTTATTTCAAAAGGTTTGAAGTAGATTTATATTTATCAATCATAAAATTAATTCACTTTAGTATATTGTGCACCATCTAAAAATGCATTGATCCATTAAATTTAAATTCTAAAAACACATATTAAGTCATAGCATGCATTTACAACATAAACAATACGGAGTATAAGAAAAGTTATTTTAAAGCGATACTCCATATTTGACTAATATTTAACCTATGATCAAATCGATTCGATATTCGTATATAATTCGTTAACTATTCGTATTGTTAAACAAATACAAATACAAATTCAAATTAATATTCGTTGCATATTTGAATTCGAATTCGTATTCGAAAAATTAAACAAATACAAATACAAAATCTCATTATTCGACTCGATTCGGTTCGTATACAACCCTACAAATAAGGAGATAGATATTCTATTTATTGTTTTTAATTGGTTATTTCTCATATCACGTATGCACCGTTAACATTTTAGCATTGAAGAAGCTCTTAGAGCATCTACAATCGGAGGCTGTGAACATTAAAAAAGTGGTTGCGTCGGCCTTGTTGAACATTGGAATACAAGCTTGGTCTCCAAGCCAGGATGTAAAGCTACCTGTTATGCTGACATGTCAAAAAATAGTTTTGACATTGTTCACATCATAGTCTTCGTATAACAATGTTGTTGACATGGTGATTCACCATTTTGGTTGAGAAACATCCGTAAATGACCACTTCTATTGCCCATAAAAATCTCTACCCATGCCCCCACGATCTATATGTTCCACACAAAGGATTTTGATTTATTTGTTTTAAGAGCTAAAGGCTTTACACGTAACCATCCATATAGTCTATTAACATAATGCATTGGATGAGTTTTTTGGATTCCACCGTCTATTTATATGAGGTGGTTAGACATTCCATTTATTGATTGTCATGTGTAAAAAATTATCCAATGTTAACAATGTAGCATTGAAGATGCTTTTATAATGTTAGATGGATGGAAATTCCTATTTTTTTGTGTTTGGTGTGGTTTAGGGCATAGGGCAGAGAATATCGAATTGAAAAGGTCACCAACAGTAGCTTTTGGGTAGCTTTTATGTAGGGAAAAAGTTTTTTTTTGGGTAGCTTTTATGTTTTTATTATATTATTATTACTTGATTGTTTTCTATCCCAGATTGAACCAAACCAAATCAGATCAGACTTAGACAATTATAAAATACACAAAGATCAGACATTTGTTAGACTAGTTCACAACATATCCGACTAGATCAGAAAACTTGAGTCCACGTAAAAAGTCCTAAAAGTAAAAATGGGAATTGTCCTAAATAGAACTAAATAAGTTTTGGAATTCCAAAATATAACTCATATGTTTCCTTCCTGAAATAAGAGTTGTTACTACCATGATTGAAAAATATTCTCATAATTGAAAAATAATTTCATTAGTGATAGTGCATACTACTATGTTGAATGTCTTGTATTGCATATTGTCATGTTAGTCCTATTTAACCCTATTTTGTGAAATCACCCAACCATCTTCATCATCCTATTTTCTTCTTCTTCTTCTTCTTCATATCTTCTAACGTACTCTTTCATTTCAAACTTTTTTCTTTACTTGCACGAAATTCATCTTTTCATTTTTTCTTATAATTATATTGTAGATTTTTTTTGAAATCAGATGTAAATTATTTACATATGCAACTACATCATTGATTTATGCGCCTACCAGCAACTTTTGTTTTTGTGAAAGAACTTTATATGAAAATTCTTATTACGTCTATATACACAATTGAATTTGATCACACAGACAACTATTATTTGTGATTAATATTGTTTTGCATGCACATAAACACTAGCCTTTTCATGAGTGAGGAAAATGTATCTAAATATTTCATAATTTGTTTACACAACATTTCGACGCAATCAATGGCTTGTGAGCATACATTGTACATAGTATGTGCCAAGTGCCAACAAGCGGTTTCTTGTTCTAGCACATAGTTTCCTTTGACCAACCAAATGCGTAGATATACATAGTATGTGCCAAGTGCCATGTTCTATGTATAATGTTCTATACATAGAAAAACTTTGTTTTGTAATATACATTGTACTTCTTTATTTTTACTATTTCGCTCTTGTTTAATATCCCTTTCTCAACTCTTAGTTTCCTGGTTCCACTCTTTTCATTGTCTTTTTTAGGCATGCGAATGGGTCGGGGCGGGGCGGGTACTACAAGACCCAGACCCGCCCCGTGACTTGGCGGGGCGGGTCCGCCCCGCCCCGTGACCTGCACGGGTCCAAACTTGTTGACCCATGACCCGCCCCATGCGGGGCGGGTCCGCCCCGCCCCGCCGTAACCTTATTAGCTAGTATGTATTTTTATTTGTGGGAAGTTATTACGAATTGCATCTACATAAAGTTTATCTCTAAATAATAATCAAAAATTCATGATACCCAAAAAATTTCAAAAATTAACAAAAAATTACTCAGACTTGAATAGTTAATTTATTTAATTGTATTAACAATTGAACATATGTATTAAAATGCTTTATATAAAGAAGACATTGATAATCTGTCGTTCATCTCATTCTAATATATGTATTAATATTGATGGATAGTCTACCCGGGGGGTATCTTATCCGAGGGGTTATTGCGTGAATAAATAGAGAGAAGTCAGAGCAAAATAGGAGGAGAGAGAGTCGATTTATTAAATGAACTCAGCGTGCCAGAGATGGGTCTGGATCGTTTACAAGGAGAAATGGGCTGCTATTTATAGCAGCAATAAATGCGATGAGAGTACACGTGTCAGCAATCCAACGGCCGAAGGGTCACATCAGCCGGTTGGCACCGGCAGTGGTACGTCCACCGCATTGAATGCGGTTGGCGGATGCGACGTGGCATTAAATGCGGTGGTTGGCTGTCTCTAAAAGGAATCTTCGATGATTGAGCGTTTTGGCCGAAGGCTCCTTGTGAAGCTGAGGGCTCCATGTAACCAAGGACCCCTGTGTAGCCGAAGGCCTTGTGTGACCGAAGGCTCGGTTCAGCCGAAGGCCTCTCCGATGCCGAGGGTTTGATAGTGCCGAAGGCTCATGTTTTTCGCCGTTTTTTCCCAGTAGCTTCTTATGCCAGAGAAGGCTATTCTGTGAGTTTCGGAGCCTTCGGCCAAGGAGGCCGAAGGCATCCCTGTGTGGACTGTGGGCTTCTTGACTCTTGGGCCGCCGAATCTTGGGCCTCCTGAGCTCCTTGGGCTTGTTGGGCTTGTGATAGATTAGTAGAAGTCTGTGGGTCGGGGGTTCCCGGGCCATATACTCCATCAAATATATTATAAGATCAAAGAATTTATGATTTACTGTATACCCACATATGTATGTTGAAGTATATTTGTAGCATAATTTAAGAAAAAGTATGTATGCTTATGTATTGAGCGGGTCGGGTCGGGGCGGCACGGGTCAATACTAATACCCGGACCCGCCCCATTGTATAGGCGGGGCAGGGCGGACCCGCCCCATTTGGAAGACGGGGCGGGCCGGACCCGCCCCAAATGTCTCGGGCCAGGGCGGGTCACTTCGGGTCGTTTTTTTTTTACATCCCTAGTCTTTTTTGCCCCTTCCCTTCATTTACTCGTCTCTTTCCTGCTCTTTCAGTTTTCTTCATCATAAAAAAATTGTTATAATCTGCTCCATGTTTTTTGTGCATTTAGGGTTATTGTTATCATTTATTTTTTCAATTTATGTATAGTATATGTTATGATATAATGCTGAATGTTTTACTATTTTGTCTCACTTATATATATTTTTTATGGTAATGGTTAAAAAAATTGACGGATTATTATCATTTTTACAATCATAACATGTTTGTGCTTTTTTGTTCATACCCAAGAATTTTCTTGTCATCCTTATTTGTTAATGTGCTTATTATTAAAATTTAGTGTGTGAACTCCACTGAATGTGATTCGTGTATGTAAAGTATTTGTTAAAATGTTAATAAATCAAATGTTGAATCATGTAAATTATTTGACCTTCTTGTTAGCCGTTAGGTAACATATGACTTTGATACTGAACATGGAGTATATATATATATATATATATATATATATATATATATTTACTTACTTGCAATACAAACATGTATCATGCAAATTTACATTGACATATAATCAATAGTAATATATTCCATGCGCTTTAACAAAATAAGGTCAAAGTTGAATGCATGAATAGTAAAAAAATCAAATGATTATTATAATTAAGATATATACTAGTATGTGATAATAAATTTCTCGTAAATATTGATTTTTCAAGAAAAACTGCTCACAGAATTCCATTTTATGAGGGATGTTTTTTATGGTTGAATAACCTCGGTTCCAACTTTTTTTCTCGAATCAATACTTTAATCAGATGAATTCTCAAAACTATCGTTCAAAAAATAACTTATTAGTTTTGTCTACCAAATAAATTTCTCACTTAATCAACAAAGAATCTGATCGAATTTGCCATTATTTGAGTGGGTCATTCTTTTATAGTCGAGTCATTCCTTAAAATATCGTTGTCTTTAAAATTTTAGTCTGACCAATCAGATATTTATATCAAAAATTATTTACGGAGTTTAACATAACATGATATATATGAAAATTCTCCAAGTAAAAATACTTTTATAAGAGTATTAAACTTATAGCTTTCATCAAAATATAATAACCAAAATCATTACCCAAAATTTATCACTATTGATTTTTTTTTGAGAAAAAACACTTTTAAGTTAAGAAGTTAAGAATCAAGATGATCAAATTTTAACTTTGAAGGGGCGTAGGCAAGTATCACGGGTCATTCTTGCTGTCGTGTTATCTTTCACAGAAGTTGGGATGGCTTTATGTGAGCATGATTTCAAAGGTATATGTAAGTATCAAGTATGTATCTGTAAGTATGTACTACTGCAACAAAGGAACCTAACCCTTTTGATCTACAATTACCCAAATACTGTTCAAGATTTTCGAAGCAAAAAGGGGTATTCATTATACGGAGTATTAGACTATTAGAGCATGAGATTGCATCTTCATATATTATTAAACACTCCATTCATAGTTTGTACGTGTAATTTTATATCAACAGTATATATTAGAGGCATTAGTGCTATACACACTGCATAAACTCAAGAACCTCTGGATCTGTGGGAACTGGGAATGATTGAAGAGGATCACAAAACCATATTGTAAAGGTCATCGGTGAGTTGCTAAAACCAACATCCCCATCAACATAGGGTTGTTTATAGAAACTGGGATTCGATCTTCACCATGAAAAAGAGGACCAAACGCATGGATTGCAAAATTCCAAGGCATTCTTAGATATTGGATGTAGGAGTTCCAAACTGGTATAAATAAGGCTCAGTTATAAATACAGAAACAAAATAACTCCTAGTTCATAACCCTCACAGTACAGTAGCATATTGTGCAGAGACTTTCAAACTGTAATATTTGCTATTTAAACATTTTTCTTTCCCATGTCACCAATGATGTTAGGGAATGTATCTCATTTCTTTACAAACTAACACGATCCTTTCAATATAGAGTGGTGCATCCAGGCCAACGTCTATGTATGATATCGGCATTTCTTATATTACCATGAACAAACACTTTCGGTTCCTTTATCTGTGTAAAAAAAATAGCAAGATAAAACCATTATTTAAAAAAAATCATAAACGGACTATTCAGGCCTTGTTTCGAGTGGTTGCAAGTTATTGGTTTTTCTAAAACAATAAACCAGTGCTTTCTGTATCATCGTATGCTCTCCAGTTTTCTATTATAAGATTTTAAAAGGTATATGAAACTATCCCATTCTTTTTAATTTGTAACTTTGTGTATCTCGAGGATATTCATAAAAGTAATAGGGGATTACAATTTTGGTAGAAAAACTATGAGAGAGATGGAGAAAAGGTAGAAAAGGTGAAAAGGTAGGAAAAAGAAAAGTAAGAGCATATAAAATATTAGGGTATTCCAGAAGTAGAAATGTAACAAATAAAATAACTTTTCAAAAAGGAATATGTGACAATTGAGACTGGAGGGAGCATATTGTGCATAATAAACTAAAAATAAGCATATTTAGACTTTAGAGTAATCATTTGAATTTTGAATTTAAAACAACTTTTTCTTATTTTCAGAAATTTGTTGTGTTAAAACAGTGAACCAAAAACATAAATTGATAACAAATGGGGCCTCAAAGGAAGTGGTTTTCAATTCTTCATAGGAAGATTTGAAAACTAACATGATTTAGTACTAGTAAGTATCATGTACCTTCCCTAACCTTTCTAGTGTATCTAAAAAAAGTATCATGCATCTTCAAATATAAAAACAAAAAAAAATAGACTTGCAACCACCACCCCCATAAACTGGGCCTGAACAAATTTCAACTACTTTAGATATGAAAGAAAAACTTGTAACCATTGATATAGGAGGGAATCCATTTTGGAAGCGAACTCCAGAAAATCCATTTACAGAGAAAAGACACTTGAAACCCTTGATGTCAGAGTGCTCGCTGTGATATAAGAATAAACACACTTTGGGGTGACTAAACGTGACTTCATATTTACGTGCAATTCCATTATTATAGACATAAGAGGATAATAACTGGTCTGCTTAGATTAGGGGAAACAAAGGGAAGACAGGTGCACCAAGGCATCCTCGCAAGGCCAGGGTCCGGGGAAGGGTCCCAATTCCCAACACAAGAGTGTAGAAGGGCAAGCCTTCCGGCACTAGCTAAACATTCAAACAAGGTGACCAAGTATTCCGGCAGCTCAATAATGTAAAATAATTAAATACCATATTATAGATAGCTTGGAACTTACTTTAACAGGAATGTGAAATTTCGGTTTTGGAACTCTTCCAAAGAAATATCTTCCTCTTTAGAGTACCTAAAGCATAGTTGAATCTTCATGTAAAAGAGCACAATATGATTGCTACTATACAAAATGGCCATTATAAAGTAAGTGTGACGGGAATGCCCACCAATAACAAGCTATTTTCAAGGGTTTTGTAATATTGTTTCCTAGATCTGTTCCTGAGGTGAGCTGTGAGGGTAAAAGCTTATTTATGTAATTCTTTGAGTGAAGGACAAAACATACCTTTCACCTTACCTGAATGAGACCTAATACATCGACAACAAATAAAAACTTTACTTAGGACGTGCTATAAAGTTTACCTCCAAGGATATCCATTTTCACCAAAACGTGAAATTCCATTTATTGCTGAGAAGGTATCAATATGAACAAGGACTTCATTTTCATGGTTCAACATGTTGACTGGAAAAGAAATAGAGTCCATTTAGAAACCAAATGTTAAAAATCAAAGTGCAATACATGCTTAACACAAGAACAATACAAAATTAATAGAGTAAATAATAAAAGACATTAGACGTCTAGAACATCAATCATGTACAACTTTTGGATGAAATGGATAGATAGTTCAATTATAGAAGAACACGACACTACGAGTGAGGGGGGTGGGGGGAGGGAGGGAGGGCGAGAGAGAGAGAGAGAGAGAGAGAGAGAGAGAGAGAGAGAGAGAGAGAGAGAGAGAGAGAGAGAGAGAGATTCTACCGTGCAAGGCTTTTAAAGCATGACCACTAGGATAGTTTTCATATGATGCCATGAAGAAAACCAGTGTGCATCCTAGACTGTAATACAAGATACTAGAGGGTGACTTTGTTTCTAAACACACTTGAATATGTAATATTGTAATAAAATAATCTCTACCTCCCCAAGATCAATCCCAGCATACCAATGTAAAGAATATTCCAAACACTCTTTCTCCTGTTATTATACCTGCACGAAATTGAATTCTCAATTACAACAAAGACAAAATCTGTGAAATAGACAATTCAAAAGGTGGAGAAAAGTGCATCCTGTCAGAAACAAAACAGTAGTCATAGTACTTTAGTAAACCCTCAATACGTCTGTTCATCAACTATTAATGTTTTACAACTTAGGGCATGTCCTGTTCTGATTCAAACAAGCATATTATCTCAGATACATCAATTACAATAACTAAAAGATGCACAGATAAAAGGCTTTCATAGATAAAATCCAGACGTGAAAATAAGACCACACATACAATCTGCTTGCTGCAACTGCTGCTGATAAGTTGAGGATTGGGATGGAACTAATAATGAAACGGAGTTCCTGCACCATCGCCAACAATTTAAACAAAATGCTTTTCAGCTCATTAGTTACTACTACCTCTGTCCCCCTAAATTTGGGACAAAGGGGTGTGGTGTGGTTTTTAAGAAAAAATAGAATTGTGTGGTTGGTATTGAATAGATAAGGTGTAAATAAAGTAAGAATGAATTCTAACCACTTAAATACTACCAAATATGGTATGGGACAAACTTAATGGGACGGACGAAAAAGGTAAAATGGGACAAACTTAGGGGGACGGAGGGAGTAGTATAAACTTTGTTATAAAATATCTATCACACAATACCTTGTGTGGAAGTTTTGAGTACAGTAGTACAAATGAGAGAACTGGAAGAATGTAGAAAACAATCCTTCTGTCTAGTAGGGCTCCAAGCTGAAACAAGAAGCCTCATCAAATGTAATAAAGAAACATAAAATTTTGAAGGTTTAAATCATTAGATGTTAAAGACAGCAAGCATTTTAAGCTTATAGTTTTGTCTTATATCTCTACTACAATTATAACTAGATTTCTAGTATCTAACATTGAATAGGCATTACTCAATTACAGTAAAAGTATATCTAAAACATTGTCTACAAAAAACTGCTTCAAAAATACTTCATTTTTAAAGTAAAAACAATCAGGAAGCCTGTTTAATAAATTACTCCAAACCATGGACATAAGCTTGTACCTTGATTGAGTTGACTAAAATTAAGAAGCTGACCTTGTTCAAACAATACTTGAAGTAAAAGAAAGTACAAATGTGACTTCTTATTTAAACTTTACTTATATTTGAAATATTGGTGCCCTTGGAATTTCACATTTTCATTTGCAAGCATTTAAAAGTTTGTAACACTCAAACAATACTTGATGAAGTAAAAGAAAGTACAAATGTGACTTCTTGTTTAAACTTTACTTATATTTGAAATACCAGTGCCCTTCGAATTTCACATTTTCATTTGCAAGCATTTAAAAGTTTGTAGAATGTTAAGCTTAAGGTTAAAACACCATATTGATTTAAGAATAAGCTCACAATGAAGAGCGGATAGGAAGCAAGTAATGAGCGGGGCAGTGCTGAAGTGAAATACCAATGAAAGGAATGTGTCTGTTAAATTGTATTAAGGAAGAAGAAAACACAGTAAAAACTTCAAGAACTTCCAGTACTGGTTGGTTGGGGGAGCAAAAAGAATCTAGACTACACATTAATATTCAGTATATTTCTAGGAGTGCAGATTTTAAGCAATAACCAAATTAATTTCTGATTTAGGATACACCCCACTCAGAACTCCGATTCAACACAGAGTTGAACCAGAAAACCTCAAACTCAGGCCATAATAGCCTCCTCCACATGACAGAGTCAACGATTATTGTCAGACCTGAAAAGTATAGAATTGCATTGATTTAGATAAATTTGCAATAAAAAAATTGCTTGAAATGCAGACATTGATATGTGATATATTTCACATACCTATGCAGCATAGAGCAGTTCTCAGGCAGGATATCATTGCCTTCCACAGAGAGATTGAATTCGTCTGCAGTTAGAAGATAACACACTAAAAAGATAGCACAGGTACTAACATAATAAATTGTCATCCTACATGATTTCATGTCTTTTCCTGCATCAACTGAAACTAACATTGTCCAATATCCTTCTAAACTTAAGAGGCATCGACTTTTAATTTCTTGCCTAAGAAATAGTCATAGTGCGCCAAACTATTCTCTTCACAAAAAACTATTTTGTCATATCAGCTTTAAGTGATTCACAACTTTGAATCTCAAACATCTGATTTTAAATATTTTAATTACAGCCTAGTTCAAAGCATCATATATTATGGAGACCAACATTAACAGATCCATCTTTGTAGTACTCTAGTTTGAAGCAGGAGAATGTTGTGTGTCTGTGTTTGGTTGAGCCACAAGAGTGATCAGAGAATTACTTGCCTAGCAGCTAGTTTACTTACTAACTTCAAACACAACAACAACAACAACCAAGCCTTAGTCCCAAAAGATTTTGGGTTCGGCTAACTTCAAAGTTCAAACACAAAGGCAAAAATTTGAATGATCTGGGGAGAATATTAGTATATTTGCTAATTGATATAAAAAAAAATTGCATAGCATACCAGCAATAGTTGCAGGCCGAATGGAGCAAGAAGCAATAAAATATCACATCTGAAGATGATTGTGGAAAAAATCTGAAATTAGAAAACAAAAACATTCACGTAATAAGAGAAAAATGATTAATGACTATTACAAAAAGGTAAAGAGAGATTATATTAGAAACACAAACGGATTTCAGATCCTTTTACAAATAAAGGGACCACAGTAAAAAATGAAAGATTCATAAGACCGAACAAATGTCCTGGTTAAGTAGTATGACAATTGACAACATACCAAACATCTCAACGCTGCATGGAAATTCTCATTGAGCCAAAAACCATATGTCAAATTAACTGCAAGAAACAAAATACGAAAAATATAAAATAACATTACTGTTCATTCACGTTTATGTGGGGGGGGTCATTATATATGAAACACATGATTGTGTGCATGGTGATTTGGCTCATGATGCTGTATTCCATCTTTTCAAGCGAAATTCTACATTATCAAAAACTAAGGTCTTGTTGTTCTTTTTCATCAGCAGTGTTAACCTTAAAATATGGTTGAGCTCAGGCAACTCAAGTTGTTAACTTCTTTGAGATAGAGGATGTGTCTAAGGATCACTGAATATATAAATAGGGTTGGGTTCAAATAAAAGTGCTTCCTAGGTGAAAAATAAGAACTAATATTGGCATGTTAGGGGAGGGTTCTAGTGAGAACGCATTATAATGAGAACCCCTTATAATCACAACCTTTCATTTTTATTCAATCATTGATAGGATGCACAAGGGGTCCTCTGTGTAATTATTCAAAATTCAAATGGGATACTTTTTGTAATTATTGTAAAATTATTACGAAAATGAAACCTTGTTTATTCTAGTTTTTGATTTGATATATCAAATGTGGACATTAAAAGTTCTCATTTAAAAGGGATTCTCATTACAACCTCTCTCTCTCTATATATATGTGTGTGTGTGTGTGTGGGATCAAACAAAAAGTGTCCTTCATATGAAAAGTGAGAGCCGGCTGAGAATAAATCGGGACCACTAAATTTATGATCTAATAATGGTTCTAAATATGTTAAAAATGCATTAAAGTGGATGAAAACCACGGTGCATTTTTGTAAATAAATCAAAAATATCTTCATTGTATAAAGTGCACTTCCAGTATGTCATAGTGTATCGTATCCATAGTTTTCATGGCGCATGGCGATCTCCATGGCTCAAAGACATTTATCATGGCGCATGGCAATGGCGCATATATGAATGGCGTATATGATGCATATGGCGCTATGGCGACGATAACTTTTTCATGGCGATGGCGCATATGGCGCGCGCCATATCTCGCCATTGACTACTATGATCGTATCTAATCAAAAGTGGATCGTACAAATCATCGGAATGCAATAGTACAACACAAATGATCAAAAGTGGAGACGTTCGCACTTTGCACGGGAAAACCACTTTTTATGGGAACCGGAGGAACCTATATATATAATCAACAATGTGTCTAAAGATCAGTGAATGTATACATAAATACATAATCAACAAGTGACAGTATAAAAGTAAAAACTATATCTAGAAAGACGAAGGTAAGACCGTAAGACTCACCTAAACAAAATGCGAATACATTGGGAAGAGGCCGAGTGCAGTAAAAAAGCATATGAAACTGAGAAGCTGTAAGTATCACAAAAAAAGCTTCAACTTGACGTCCAAATGTCTTCCTGATCTGCTATGATGAAGTTGTTTAGATTACCATTTGTCAAATGATGTTTTCAAAACACTAACAAAAGCTTTTTCGTTGAAAAGATACTTAAATCTTTGTCAGGAATGCAAAGAGCACACGATTCCTCGGTTAGAAGGACCAAAGACGATCCATATTCACACTGAAGTGGAGGCAAAATATTGATTTTGAAAAACTATGATTCCTGGCAACTGTATGCATCCACCATAGTTTTAATTAGACACTAACTTTATGTTCTAATAAAATCATGGCGACCTTAATTAGGCATAATAAAAACCATTGCCAGTAGCCCAGTACCCTAGGAAACTTAGTTAGGTATCCGCATAAAAAGGGCAATTATGACAAGCCTTTCATGTTTCTTGATTACAGATCAAATAGAGTACTCTTAGAAGCTTGTGAGAAAACATAATTGAATGCAAATAACCACACCATCTAGATACGGTTAAGAATGTAAGATTACTAGAATGAAAAAAGTAAAGCAAATCCGCATAAGGTTTGACTGTTTTCTATGTATAAAGAAATTACGTACCTGTTTCCTAAAAAAACGCAATGTAAATAAAGTGATGCAACCTAACACCAGTCTAACTGCACAAGAAAATTAAATCCACAAGAAAATAAGAAAATATAACACAAATGAAGAACATAATTCTTATCATGCAGCTTGGAGATTTAGGTGTTGGTGTGATATAGATTTAACATGTTGCCAGATTTGGGCAACTTGCGACAATAAAAACCCAATGAAATAATTGTAAACTCAACCAAAACGATTCAAAGAAAACATTGGGTGAAATGAAATATGTCAAACATGCACATCAAGCATTAAAAGAACCACAGCATGCCTTGTGCCAATGGAAGAGGCCTAAGACCCTAATTGAATGATATCATTTCAAAAAAATTGAACACAAGCAATCAAACATAATTTTATAAGAAAAAGAAGATGCCACGAATATTTGGAAGACAACACTACGTCATTGATAAATAAACTCACCCACATAAAGACTATAAATCTTTGGCAAATGTACCAAACTCATTGCTGCAACAATGGGAGATGCCAATATTGATACAAAGAAGGCACCTGCCAATTAAAGTAGTTTCTTGGAATAATACCGGAAGTGTTGACAACAAAAAAACATATTAAGCATTTGCCATTAATGATACTGAAGTAAAACAGAGAAAGAAAAATAGCTCACCAATAAATGTGCGAGGAACAACTCCAGGGAATTCAAAATGATCATACTGGCATTGTTCATCAAAGGTAGCAAATTCAAGTCTAACATCAATAATAAAGATTACTTATCCAAGCAAACAAAAGCTAAATACTAAGAAAAGTGAAAATTTACCTTTTCTAAGTGATATCTATGGATTAAAACATCGTGCATGGCCTAGTAGACAAGGGAAAAAACGAACACCCCCATTAAAAATCGACATTGGAAACTGCTTTAAATGCAACTTGTTTCTATTCAGTATTCTCTCTGGTTGTAGTTTCTCCAAAAATATGAAACAAGGCGTACCTGAACGTTAAAGCTTTCTTCAACCTTAGTGTAGGGTACAGCTAAGACATAAAACGCGGCAATTAACCCCAACAGCATATCATATCCTATCAAAGAATGTTGCGAACTTTCAATTGCTAACTTTGTTTAAGGTGAAACCAATACTGTAATATAGATTGGACGGATTACTTATTATACTCCGTGGTCCGTATTACCGTAAAGCGTGAAGAAACTCGCGGAGTTGCCAGCCAGGGTCGGATCTGCAGGAGGGTCCAGGGGGGCCGGTGCTCCTGCTTCGGCCGTGCGATGTAGGGTATAGGATGGGGTTGGGGGCGCCGGACTATTCCTCTCCATTGTTCCCGCCGGCGAGTGTTGTTTGAAGGACAGGGGGGCGACAGGGATGAACGAATTGAACGATGGTCATTCACTTGGCTAAGTTTAACTTTTGATTAAGACGACGTCGTTTGACGTCTGGGAAAAAAAACTATGGTCGATTGGGAAAGGCAGGCCCAACAGCTGAACAGCCCAAACGAACAAACATACCACGGCGCCATGGCGGGGACAAGGGTCGGTGCAATTCATACCAATAATTCATACTTTTATTGATTTTATAATAATAATCTCTACTGAAAAAATCATTACAAATAATCCAAACTTGTAAATGGGTCTACGTAGATAGATTAAACCTTCATAGATAGATTATTATCCTTTAACAAAATAATTATGGTAATGATATACGTAGTAAAAAACACTAAACTCACATGTATGACAATGGTGAACAAAGTTAATGGTGTATCCTTATATTTTAAATATAAAAAAATTTAATCTAATCTATCTATGTAGACATGGAATATAAAAGCATTCCAGCCCAGCTGATTGTAAGGTTATTGTGCCTAGAGAGAGGTCTCGAGTTCGAAATACGCTAGGCACATAAGGGTTTGAGACTCAATAAAGTGAGTTTCAGTCCTGATGACTCCAGGTCCCCCAGACCCCTCTCCCCAGACCCCCCTGGAGTAAAAAAAATATGGATTATTTATATAAACATCTTTGATAGGAATTATTATTGTATAACCGCTAAATGTATAGATTATTGGTATGAATTTTGCCTATTTATTTTGTAAACTTGTACGGAAGTATTAATCATGATTACTCATTGTATTTGAGCTATACAAATGGTTGCAGATTTATTTATAGGACAAATATAGTGAATATGTTGTCGTGGTAAGTGTTGTAGGCTCTCTTATACATAAATCAATAATAATATATTATTGCTATGAAATTATGAATTTGTGATAGCTTGAATTAATTATTTTGGTTTTGACCCCCTCAGGTTAAAAATAAATCTAACATTTTCATTTTAATCTGACATTATTTGGACCAAATGAGGGCTTGAATGTTTAGGTATATATATCCCAAAATGCAAAACCTTTCAAGTGTTATTAACCCTAAATCAAGGATATATTAGGCTAAAATATTACGACGATTCCACAGATAATTTTGTTTATGGAACAAAAAACTAAACTTTAATTCTACGTACAACCCTGCTATAGGTACCCCAATTGGTTCCTCAATTTGTACCTCAACCTATTTTTGTGGCTCACAAAAGCCCACCTTAATAAATGAATTGCCCCACTTTAATGAGGTGCTTTTGTGAGCCACAAAAATAGGGTGAAGGTACAAATTGGAGTACCAATTGAGGTATCTTTAGTATTTTTCTTCTACGTATAACAATCTCATCACCGTTTAGGCGTTTAGCAAGCAAGAGTGCGCATTAATGGAAATAGTTAGCTAGCTAGCTACTTGCCTACATACATAATACGAAGTATAATGGTAGATTATATGGTACCCTTAAGGTACCATACCTTTGTCCACTTGGACCAATCACTACTACATTTTAAGGTCTAGTGTAACATTAAAATCGTAACATTTGTTTAAAGTGTTACAATAAATAAGCCTATTGTAATACTTTTGAATGTATCGTTACATTAGGTATTAGCATATGTAACACTTCTATTGTGTTAGGTGGAGTGTTACATTTCTTTCATAACTGTTACCTTTTACCGAACTAATGTAACACTATGAATATCTAGAAAAAAGAGTGCCAAAAACTAAAGGCCAAAGTTGCGGGCGATTAATTAAAAAGCCCTAAGGACACCAAAATTCTTCACCGCCTATCTGCGTTCTGCAAAACACTCCCCTTCACACTGCCTATATCAGCTAGCCGGAGACGGACGACTTGGAGCTGGAGGTGTTACGGATCGCGATGCACTCTTCTCGGGCTCACTATTCATCTGCTTCTTCCACATTTAATTTCACTATCTAAGCCAGGTAATTCCATCTTCTAGTATTCCAGAATCACATCTTCTAGTATTCCAGGGTTTTTCTCGTTTGTACTTTCCGTGGTTTGAGCCCAGCCTTTTTAATCTCGTTTATGTGGCGGTTTCTTAGATTTCTACGGTGTAACATGTGTGGTCGTCTCTTGCTGGCGTTTTCTCAGTATTCATTCATGAATTGTTTTATTAAAGTTGGTTTTAGAAATTCAAAGGCTATATATCAGAACTCCATCATTTGTTTATCTTCTTAATTGCAATATTGTTTTCCCTCTCTGCGTTTTAGGATCTTTGTAGATTATGTATGGGTTAATCAAGAATAAAAGATGATAAGAACAAGCAATGTTAGTTCTGCACGAAAGGTGTTTGAAGAAATGTCTAAACTAGAAAAGCAGGTATTTTATCTTCTTCATCTTTTCATGATTTTACCGATGATGCTATTGTGTTCCTTGCAACATTTTTATATGAAAAACAGATAATTTTCAGGCATTTTTCATGATTATTTTCATATTAAAGATAACAAATGTGTTTTGCCTTTGAATAGAATGAATATTATGATGCATCAATGGCCGGTTTTTTTTATTGCCACGTCTCATATTCTCAAATGGGAGAAAAACTTTGAGCACCTGTTATTGAAATCCAAAACATTAATAAGCTATTTTATCATATATAATTCCTCTGACCTGCCTTTCAGCGTTCATCCAGCTTGAAGCTAGTACTATGACTAAACAGGCCGAAAACATCATTGCATATTTGCATATTCGATTGACACATTCATTGTGCATGTGAGTTAGATACTAATTAGATCATGATTAATTTGAGAATGTATTGACATGTTAGTTATAACTTATAAGTACTAAAAGAATGAGGTTTTCTGGGCATTTGTATAAATTTAATAAAAGTGGAGAATTCAAAACAAAATACATTCTAATTTTCCAAGGACCTTCTTGTTCCATTTGGGTCCTTCTTTTACTGAATGTAGTTGGGTTTGTGATTTGCTAGAGATGAGTGGAAAACTAAATATGGTATTGATGGGAGTATCTCTATTTATAAGATTAATAGTCTCATATCTTTTGATAGTTTGATTGCTCTGTGAGATTTCTGAAGTGGGTAGATCATAGATGTGCAGATCGGCAAAGCAATATTGTTAAGGTATAAATTTGTTTCAACTAAACTGGAGCTCTTTACAATCAAACTAAGTGGGTAGATCATAGATGTGCGGATTTCTGAATATTTTCTCAAAAGAATCCTGTTGTGTAAGTTCAATAGTTTGTATTATTCAACTAAGGTTTACATTTAGAAGTAAATTAACCTACCGATCTTTGGTTGTTGAGACGTCATACATTCCACTTGAATGCAAACCCTTGATTAATAAATCTTTAGCGATTTAGAATATATCTTTGCCATGAAAGTTCAATTTCTTAACCATGATCCTAAGCATTATGTTTAGCTTTCAGATCTAGAGTTATTTTTTTGTAAGAATGTTCTTTTTCTATATTAGAATACTATTTCACAATTTCTAAATCTTTCCAAATAACTCTTTTTACTTTATAGTATTGCAGAGTTTTTTTTTGCTTTCAGAATGTTCTATTAATCTTCACATTAATATTTGAGAATGGTACATAGTACTTTGTATTTGTTTGACAGTTTAAGAACAATTGTGTACATTTTTTAATTACATCAGACGTTGGATAACTCCAATTCCAATCCGTGCCTACCCCTATACTGATGTAGAAGTTTATATATATAGATGCTAATGTTTTGAAATATTTGCTTTAATTTACAGACAAGAAATGCATGCACATGGAGAGGAAAAGAATGAAACCACATAATGGATGATCTCGCCTTACAAAACCAGTTGAGAAATGGGCATGGATGCCCCAAATTAAGAGCAGTTGATAAGGATTTAGGTGTTGATATGTACTCCATATTTTTGTAGTTGGCATGTAATGTTAGACTGGATAAATACCTGTATGCAATGTACTATAAATGTACCAAATTTGTTTTGATATTCGTTAGTTTATATAAAAGATTTGTTTTTAATATTATTTCTGATTTATGTACAAATCATTGACGAATTTGAAGTTATATCTCATATATAGAGTACATGCTATATTAAAATAAGTGTAATATTTTTTTACATATTTTTATCAAAGTGTTACATTTGCTCAAGTGAAAAATTGTTACATTTGTACTTGATTTGTGATAATGGGTTTGGTAACACTTTTGGTTTGTTTTCGAAAAGCGTTACAATTGATTTTAAAAATCGTTACATACTGTTACAATAAAGAAAAGGTAACGCGAGCGAATGTAACGGCACAAAACTGTTACATTTAATAAAATGTAACAGTTTTTTAGATCTAAAGTAACAAATTTGAGTGTTACAAAAGGCCTTTAAATGTAGTAGTGAATTAAAATGATGTAGTTCAATTATTTAAATCTAAATAAAAAATGATTTAATGGTGTGAACCAATTAAGTCAATGGTAGGTACGATACCACATTTTTTAAATAGATACCAAGGGTGTCACCTAATATAATATCGATTTACTAATACTCCTATATTGTAGGCGTAGGAGAAGGCGCGGGAACCATTGCGGGAGGATGAGATCCCGGCGAGCCACCACCACAATCCTCCGTGCATGCATCAAGCTCCGTCATCACACATTCAAGATAATCTTTTTCCCCGCCGACGCAGTCATTGTTGGGGAAGCACTTATCCATGCAATCCACATCAAGATCACCGGATGATGACGAAGAAGAAGAGGGGTCTCCATGCAATACTAACACATTCAAAGCACACATTTCCATCAATAGTAACACAAGAATCTGTCTTCGAAAAAACTTCATCTTTTCCCGTTATGGATGTCTAGAAGATAGACAAATATGTCTTATACTTCGTATATATATATATATATATATATATAGACACTACATTTAATTAGTTTGATTTTTTTGTTTGGTCTGGTCTGATTAGTACTTAGTCTGGTTATGTGACTATGTCTGGTCTTTTTGTATTTTATGACTATTCAAGTCTAGTCTGGGTGTGTTTAAGTATGGTCTGATTTTGACTTGTCTAATATGGTTTGGAAACCATCCAAGTAAAACATGCTTAATTAATTTCTACA